TTCTGAATCCAGGGGTTCTGGGGAATCGAATGGTGTAGAGAATTTGATATGTTACTGGGTAAACCTGGGAATACCGGTCGCTTGAATACATGAACTCTTGTGATGCTATAACGCCAATGCGTTAGTTGAGATAGCTATATATCTCTTCATGTAGGTAGAACCGCACGATCAAATTAATGTCAAGTAGCTCCGGGGCTAAATGACCACGATAATTAGCCCTGCCCACAGTTAGTGCAACTCCCTTTTCTCACCGTGCCATCTGCAGTATTCACGATGAGATGAGACGGCGATTGTCCCGCCACATACCATCTTATGGAGAAGTGAAATAGTATCTGAACTGTGAAATTCATACAGTTTGGACGCTGGGTTGATACACGAGACTCGCGGAACGGTGAATTGGCTTGTCAGATCATTCAATGAGCCTCGATTTTCATCAGTCACTGAACCAGTTGTAGTTATATCACGGTTTCGTGCTGTACCTATACCAGAGGTCGGCAAATAGGTTTGACCGCGGGCCATAATTCTTTCAAGCAAGCGACACAGCCAGTCGTCTATTAGGAAATTCTGTGTCGAAAAATTTAATCTAAAACCTTTTACCTTTTCCTTTTTTACCCCTTTAAAATCAAATCGCTTAAATTCATCTGGCGGGCCAATTTTGGCCTGCGGGCCGAAGTTGCCGATCCCTGACCTATATGCAACAGTCTGTCTTGTGAAATTGTTTTGCCAAGCCACCGAAAAAGGCTGCCAAATAGACTGTCGTTAATTTTCCACATGAACATTTAAGAGCTAAGGAGATTGAGTAGGGTTTGGCAGGTGGCAATTTGCTTAATTCCATTGCTCTATTGATCACAGCCCTCCCTACTCAATTACTAATCACTCTGTAGTTGTTATCATTGTTCAAATATTATTGATATATAAATTCGAATTTGATTTTGGTATATGATAATTGAGATGTATGACAGATGCTAATTTTGTGCATTCGATCAGAAAACAAATACCAGCTTTATCCAAAATATTTCATACGTCCATTGAGCAAAAAGTAAGCAAAATATATATGTAATCGAAATAAAATACATGAAAAAGAGTTATCATTTGAAGGTTCATTGCATTTTTCGTTGGTCGAACGAATGAATGATCATGTTCAAACGTACAAGACTTCTTTATAAATATGAATATGCTAATGAATAATATGCGGATATTTTTCAGTGAACAGACTGTTAGTTATGCTCCAGGCCTGGCTCGCACGTATGTTCTGAGTCGTGGCAGTTTTGAGACGTCCAAACGAAAGTTGACACCATCATGCGGTCGTCTCATAAGTCCATCACAAGCGCATTTGCTACGATTGATAATAGTACCGCGAGGACAGTGCGTTATTTGACATCCACACGTACAAGTGTCCTCATTCCAGTACTTATTAACTCCTGAAACGTTTCTAATGGCAACGTTTTGAAACGGAAATAACACAAGTTTGTTACAGATGTTGGTTGATGTGGTGGATGTTAACTTTACATCTTACGATTGGCGACATTCAAACGAGAAAAGCCGACGGAAAAGTGTTGAACAATCACAACCTTGAAATAGCTTGAACTCACGCATAGGCTTAGCTTTGGGCTATTTCATGGACTTAATCAGGTTTAGGCTTGTCCTCAGCCCTATGCTTGCACTCGAACACAAACACCGGACATCCATTGATTCAGCCAATATTCGACCTTGTTCCAACTTATCGTCATTGACATTTTTCAGGGAGATCAATAAGTATAGTAAGAAAATAGGAAAGAAATGACAAAGTGCTTGAGAATACCTTTACAATCGGTTTTCTGCATCTGATTACTGCATTCGCACGTGCACGATGGACCGATCACTTGGCCGCCATCACACTCAGGCAATGGCCCTTCGAGTGCACAGTCGCGACAACTGCACGCACGATGTTGTTGCATTGTGATGTTCAGTGTCTGATTGATCAGAAATCGGTTGTGTCCAGCGTACACCATCTCAACAATCTGCAAACAACACATCATTTCCCGAATACGAAAATCGTTCTAATGCCAAGCAAAGTTGGTGATGATTATTGAATTTTTGCGACGATAAATTACATTGTGTAACGAAAACAATGACACAAAAATGAGAATGTCATGCTGTTTTAGTCATACTGTGCAGCTTTTGCATTTAGAATCTAGAGAGAGACTTTCCTCTCATCACTGTGCAACGTTTTCTTGTAAT